TACAAACATTGTGAAATCAGGCAGTGAAAATTATCCTGAAGTTTTGAAAACCAGTACAGAAAATAGTTGTTCTTTGTAGCTCAAAATGTTCTACTAAGAGCGTGAGTTTTTTTTTTTTATCTGTTGCCTTTATTCTGTTTCATGAGTTCTCTACATATTGTTTGTTTTTATGTGAATGTTTTTGACCCATTCTTCATTATTTCTTTCCCTCACAAAATGCCCAGTATAATAAAAGCTGTTCAAGAACTATTTCTTGAACCCAGAATGCCCAGTGATAATTCATCTATGACCTCTGATAAATAGAAAAATTGGTGTGGAAATTATTTCTCATTGTGCTTGTATACTTTAAATGGCATTTATGTTTAAGTTACAGAAGCACTCAAGAAAATAATTGGGCTACTTTAGATTGTCCAGCCTCCTAAAACAGAATTTCTTACATAATTATTCATCAGTATTGTTAAATTAAATGTATGACTGTAACCTTCATCAGGGTATCATATATTGCATCTAATTCAGCGCTATAGTTCTACAAAAATTCTTCACACTTTATAAACAGTTTACTGAATGTATTGTTTTCAGTGATTTGGATGGCAGCATTTGATCCTGGTTCTAGCCATCTGTTATTGATTTCCACTATCAGAAGTCTATGTTGAAAGAAAATAAAAAATTATCAGTCTTAAGTTTTATTTAAATTATATTTAACAGTAGATATAAAAACTAAAGAATAACAAAGAGACTGAACTTTGGGTCCTAGCTTTTGGGTAGTTATACTGACCAAAGTAAACAGTTCTTAGCATGTTTATACAGCAGTTTGAAAATGTGCAAATTTCAAACATAAACTTTAAAGAGAATGTAACAGTTGCAGATATGTTTAACAATATATTTTCATTCTGGTCTAGAACTTGTCTCATTCTAAACTAATGAGATAGATAGTCATATTTTAAAGATATATTTGTGCTTTATTTGTAGAAAAGCTATAGTGAGAGATTTAGGTCTCCAAAATAACTGCAGTTTTAAATACCAAGCATGACTATTCTGAATCTCATTTTCATATTTATAAATATGATAAAGAAATAAAAGTATAGCCCAGAATGACCTCAGAGTCATGATCATCCTGCCTCCAACTCTTCAGCATATTCTACCAGTGTGTGCCAATGACCAAAACTAGTGTGAGTGTGGGGAAAGTGGAACACTTATTAACTGTTGGAGGGAGTTAAAACTGATACACTCACCATGGAAATCAATGTCCAAATTCTGCAAAAAGCTAGCAAAAAGATCTACCACACAATCTAGCTGTACCATTTCAGTGCTTATATCCAAAAGATATATATCCTACTACCAAAATATCTTCTAACCATAGCCAGGTTATGGAAAAGCACAGATGTCCATCAACTGATGAATGGATAATGAAATGTGGTACATTTACACAATAGAACATTACTCAGCTATTAAGAAAATTGGAACTATGAAGTTCACAGGTAAATGGATGAAGCTAGAAGCATTTATTCTGAGTGAGGCAACCCAGAACAAGAAAGAAAAATGTTAAATGTTTTCTCTCATTTGTGGATGTTAGCTTTAAATCATCAGATACGTGAGTTTGATTTGGAATACCAACAGAGGCCAGGGATTAATATGGGGCCATGAGAGGAGGGCTTTTGAAGGAAGGAAGATAAAATTCAGTGATATGAGGCAAAAAGGATAAAAATGAAAAGGAAGGGTGTGTGTGGAGGGAAGGCAGAGTACAGGAAGATGACTTTAAAGACCTTTTGATAAAAAATCATATGGAAACCTGCTGCAATGAAAATTTCCTAAAATATATGCATGTACGTATATAAGAATAATTTAAATGCAGTTATCCTATAGTGAGTCACCACATTGTCCCCACTGGTCACACCACAAAGCTAATGAATAAAAGTCCCAATGTCAGCAATGGATTTCCTCTTTTGGAGTTGTTGGGCAGTGGGGTCCCCATATACCAAAACCAAAGTGTTACAGACTATTGTCATTGCCCTTGGTTACCCTCCATAACTTGGTTAAGAACCTATTGTTGAAGACATCATGTACTTGAGACACAGGACACTGAGAAGTAACGTTGGTGCTGATCTCAAAATTTCACCATTGCTGGCTAAGTTTCATAGTACTGGAATGTGCTCTGCATGATACCAGAGAACAAAAGTAGTAATCAGTCTTACCCAGCAGTAAACACTGAGGAGCGATTGCAGTAAGGACTGGCCTGGTAAGACATGTCCGCTGGTGCAATAGTGGCATGAATATTACGGTAGCAATCAACAATTTTCTGATTGGATTTAAGGCCTGCTCCACAAGATGGAACCCATCTTTCATAGTTATCAGGGCAAAGATCCTGCAGCTAGAAAGGTCACAGACCTAGGGGAGGACTTACTGCTATCATTCCCCTAAATGTACTTTGCATTAAAATGATTCCTGAAGTTGTTTTGTTATGCCCATAGATTAGTGCATTTCTCAACCTCATCAGAGAAGCTTCCTATAACAGTAGATGACAACATAGAAATCCATAACTGGTCAACATGCAGAAAATAAGAGATTGTGGTATGTTCAGGACCAAATGGGACACAAATACCATGTCCTCTCCTCCCAAGACTCAGGAGTTGTTGAAAGAGGGCACAAAAATTCTAATAGCCAGAAGCAATGGATGACTACAAGGAAACAGTGTTTTCTGGATACAACATAATAGGTACACATATTAAACATATGAATTTACAGTGATTGTGACAGCATGCACCAGACCTGTGTAAACTCAAGCCAGACAAAATCCCAGCATAGAGACAGGAGGTGAGCTGGATGTCCCACCCCTAGATGAGCAGTTATTGGCAATTGATAGCTGCTAGAAAGAGAGTCCATCTTCTTTAAGAGTGTGAGTGCCAGGTAGGTCTACCATGCTCCAGTGGATGTTCACACACCCAAATGTATATGGGCAGCACAGATTGGCCTGGATCTGTTTGAAAAAGTTGAGGAGGGACACAAAGTTGGGAGGGTAGGAAAGTGGTGATGGACCTGGTAGAAACTGGGGGAAAGGATGACTATAATAAAAAATACACTGCATAAAATTTTCAAAGAACTAATTAAAATTAAAGAAAGAAATGAGTGTATATTGTGATTTGTAAAGAATCAAATCAACATTTGTAAAAGTTTGATAATAAGCATTTTATATATTCATGGTATAAACTTAATGTTGTAA